CTGCAATTATTCCCATTTGACCTCCAATAGAGAAGGATTTTGGCAATGTTGGGGGTCAGCCCTTGTTTGAGACTTTCATTTTTACCTTTTTGAGTTACTTCGATGTGGGGTTTTGCTGGTGCTTGTTTTTCAAACTCGATTTCTTAGAAAGTTTGCGTTCATCCATAGTTCCTCTAGAATTTGATATCATTTGTGTTCAAACCTACAATTTTGAATTCCCCATCTTCCCTGTTGACCAAATTGGAAAGAAACTTACCTAATCTACATCTCCAGCATTTGTTTCAAAAAGCAACTTTTATCTTTTCAAAAAGTAAAAGAAAGAACTTCACATGGGTATTAGGGATTGCGTTTCCATGTTCCTTTACCCGATTCTTCACTTTCCTCTTCCTTTGTGTTCTGGTCTGGATTTTTCATCCACATTCAAGCACAAAACATGAAGTGGTCCTGAGAATTTTCCCGGAAAATTAAGTGGGTGGAAAGAAAAATGAGTTGTGTTAATGCGCCGACACAAGTGGATGAGTGAACTCAGCATCTCAGAACATCCAACTCCGTATTGTCCACGCATGTCCAATTGTGTAGTATGTCCCTCCACTGTTCTAATGGTTGCACGTGTATTGCGTCTACACGTGTTGGCATCTTCCTGTTCCTTCTCCAATTCCCTTAGCGACCAGATTGTTCATACTTTGATGACATGATTGCACTTCCTCTTGTCAAGAATCTTCCATGCTTAATATAATTGCTTATTGCTTTGCCATAATCATAAAACACACTGCTGGGTCAGTCCCTTTCAAGTTTTCTGGGATTTGTTTTTAATTCAGGGGAGAAATCAAGAGCCTTACCTGCTAAATTAATTAAATGGTCTGCTTAAAATAATTAAAGTGACTTTATCTTAGCTTTTGTTTAGCTCAAATGGTTGTATTAAAGCTGCATTCTGGCGTTGGTTGAAATTATTTTATGCATTGGTCCCCTTCCCCCATCATAGCTCTTTCCACATTTATTTGAAGGAATAAAGTAATTCAAGGGACTTTTTTGAATATGAGTTGCAGTAGGGGTTTTGGTTATTATTATGTCTAACTTTTGGAGGGACATTTTGAAGGCAAGGCGGGCACTTAGAGCACTAAAGGCATTAGTAAGGCTTCAAGCTTTGGTGAGAGGTCACATTGTGAGAAAGCAAATGGCTGACATGCTAAGGCGAATGCAGACACTGGTTAGATTGCAATCTCGAGCTTGTGCTGGTCGCTCGAACTTATCGGATTCTTTGCATTCTACCAGCAAGTCCTCGCTCTCTCATATCCATGTACGTGTTCGTTTCCCCCTACCATTGATGTCCAGTTTCCAATATTGTCATGCTATTTCAAGTACATTCTCTTTTTTTTTTCCTATGAATGCTGTTGTTGCACACCATCTCCTCCTACCTAGGAACTCATAGCTTCCTAGGATTCTTAAGTTTATGTTGAATTAATTGTTTTGTTTGGATAGAAAAGAGCAAAGAATTTGGTCATCCAAATTGTGCAAGTTCTGTTTGCCACTTTTTCCACAGGCAACCTGTGGCGATTATTAGAGAATGATCTTCAATTATTTTCCTTTTGTTGATAGGTCCAAGCAACTCCCAATGGAAATGAACATCAATTCTGTGCCCATCTTAGTAATAAATTTGACAACTCTGCACTTCTGAAGGTATACAACATAATGTCATTTGTAGCTGAATGACTTTGATTTCATTAGTTTTTCTAAGCTCTAGTGTGGTTTTTCATTCTTATTTGCGCTATTGTTTAAGTTCGTTCAAGTTATGGCAGACTGATTTTGTCACCAAAAAGTAATGTTTATTTTCAACTTTTGCTACCAACTCTTGCAGAGATGTGGTTCAAATTCAAACTTAAAGGATGTCAGTGTTGTGGATGGAGCGCCAGTCGGGTCAAGCTGGTTAGACCGTTGGATGGAAGAAAACTTGTGGAATAATCGAGATTTGGCTCTAAAAAACATTCATGCTGTGGATGAGAAAACAGACAAAATCCTTGAAGTTGATACATGGAAACCTCATCTGAAGTCTCAAGGAAACATCAGCAGCTTTAAGAACTCTCAAATGGCTCCAGAGTTTAAAAACCAGAGCTTTACGACAATCGACTCCCCATTAAAACATTCGTCGAAGGCTGCAAAACCAGTTTCGAGTCTTTCCTCGGGGGAAGCATCCTTGAGCTCTTTAAAATACCCTCTTGGAAAATATGAAGCAGCTCCAAGAACAGCAGAAAATAGCCCTCAAGTGCATTCTGCCAACTCCAGGCGTGGTAATAGCGCAAAAAGAGCTACATTTTCGCCGACAAGAAGTGAGTATGCATGGGGATATTTCAGCGGCTATGCAGGTTATCCAAACTATATGGCCAACACAGAATCGTCCAAAGCAAAAGTCAGGTCACAAAGTGCTCCAAGACAGAGGCTGGAGTTAGAGAAACTCGGATCGAACAAGCGGCATTCTCAGGTATCTTGGGATGCATGGAGCTTTTCAAACAGCGGGATCTCCCACGAACCCAATTCATCAAACAATGCCAATTCTGTAGCTGATCGCATGACTAAGTTTGCAAGTGCCAAATCAAGATGATCTTTGTTTGTTTTTGTAACTTCTCGTTTTTTATTATGCTGTGTGTGGGCGTGTGCTTTCTTTTGTTCAGCAGCAATGTAATTGTAATTATTTGACCTCTTCTGATGTCTAGTCTACAACTTGTTGACCATGAACGTACAATACTTCCATGTTTCGAGTGCTAAGCCAATGCCTTTGAAATTTGAATTGTACTCCGATTTGACCAATCAACCTCTGTTCATCTCCTCAATCTGTACACACTGTCGACCAAATTGTTCAGCTGGTCTAAATATTATTCTCAAACTCTTTATTACGTTTGAGAATATGATGTATGAACGAACATTTTGATTTTTGCAAATCATAACCTAATCCATCAACACTTCCTCCAAAGATGGTTTCATATAATTAAGTAATGGCTACTATTCCAACAACTTTCAAGCAGAAAAGTTACCATATAATAAAATATCATAACCATCATGACATAATATCATATCAACGTCATTATAAAGTTGACAGGAATTATCAAACATTAGCAATCGTTTCAAAAGGGTAACTTAACAAACAGTTTAATCCAAAAAAGAAAATCACGGGCCATGACAAAAGGGATAGATAAATCCACAGCTCGCAAAGTGAAAAAGCTAATGTTTGGTGGGAATTAATGAGCAGAAAAGAAGCCCTAAAAAAGCAACAGAGATGGTGTAATTAGGAGTTGTAAATCACTATCCATTCACGGACTAATGAAAACCCTTTTAATAAGTTAGCTTTTTAAGCAACTTTCTGTGTGTCTCGACACCCACATGGCCGAACTACAGCAAGTTGCTGCAATGGGTTCAAAGAAGGAATGTAAATACAAAATGGAGCCTCGGATGCTCACAAAAGGCCACTGAGTTACACAGTCAGTGAAAGTGAATGAGAAGGAGCACATTCATATGGTACAAAATCAAACCTGTCCTCTGTCGGCAAATCCAAGCATGTCTGATTGACCACAGCTTCAAGCTTGATAGTTCATGATGGTTCTCAGCCTTATTTTCCCCCCCTAAGTTCATTGTTACTGCTACCATATGATTTCCTTACAGGGACCTTGGAGATTAAAGCAAAAGGACGAAACTTTTCAGTCACTTATCTTTACCTCACGAGAAGTGGATCTTTCTTGAGAGCATGCAATGCAGCTAACTTTCCTAAAAGAAACAATTAATTACTCCTCATTTGGGAGGTGAAATCCAAATGCATTTACCACAGTTCCTGTTTGGTTGACCCTTCCACCTTCAGAAAATCATCATTGAGAGCAGCATGAAGACAAAACCTGATGTGCACAATCATGTCAGTGGTTAAGAGGCAATTTCTTTTTCTCAATAGATTCTTTGGTTGGCTCGATTTTGGAATATCAAACTACTGATATGAGTCTTATACGTTCCCTCATTCTGCTACAGTTCACCCTCTTGTTTTGTAATGCAAACAGCAACTTCAAAACTTTCTTTCAGTTAGTTTATGTTTTTCACAGGAAAGTCTAAATATTACTGTCTCTCTTCTTTCAGTACATCATAAGAAGTCTTCTTTCTAGGTCCTCTTTGTTGTCGTCTACTGATGCAGTTCACATGGATATGCTTTACAGTGTGAACAGTATAAAAAGAAAGAACTCAAAATGGAGACACAAAAGTATTAGAGTCTTGACAAAACCAACAAAAGGTTATGAGAACTAAGAATAATTTTGTTCAATTATTCTTAGTGTTGCTTTATATACAGAACTTCAATCAAACTTGACAACCCATTGATTGAACTTAAGGGGTTAGCGTATCAACCTAGCTATAAGCCTAATGAAAGAATGTTTCTGGAGTGTTTCAATTTCAGAAACAGTCACAAGGGTATTGGTTAATACTGATGAGATCTCTTTCTTTTGTATTTGTTAACAAAAAAACTATCCTAATGTTCAAGCTTCAATGTAAGATTCATAAACAAGGCTAAAGAAGAGTGCAAGAGAAGAGAACAGAGTTAGAACCTGCCGTTGGAATTGAGATCAAATTTGAAGCCCTGCCAAAGCCAGGTAAGGTGGTAGCTGATGAGTTGAAATATGAAGAGTCTCACTTGGAAGTTACTAAAATCGCTGCGGCGGTCCAGGAAATTAGCAAGATCTTTGTGTCTCATCGCTGCATCAAGGCAAGGCATTCCTAGGTCGGGCGAACCGTACATTATGAAGTTCGAGCAGCTCTTGACAAGTGCTATAACGGTTGAGCCTCCTATGGCTAAAGTTGTTCTGCAGTTTGATGTGCATTAATCTTGACAATAAAGTTTTAACCTAGGGAAACATAGAGATTAGAAGTTTGGGGATATGATTCAGTATTTGACTAGCAGTTGCTTTTGTTTATATATCTGTTCATATTTATAAATCACCAAAGTTGTTGGAAACAATACAAACCATTACTACAAGTGATGAGAACACAACCCATAAACAATAGCGTATGCTTCCATATAGCACCATTACCATTGTTCATCTAAGCAACTAGAAACTGTACGTGCTGACTATATATTTCTAATGAACTGCACAATTACAGGAGAAATTTAATTCTCCAAATGATGAAATCTCTCTAAAGATATTGCTAATCACATTTCCATCTTGAAGTGGGAACACAGTTCAAATAGTGGCACCAATGGCAGCGACTGTTCGCATTTTCCCCACGGAACAGCATCACCAGCGCAACGGTGAACCTGCATATTTACAACCAATTGGTATGCAGTCATGAAAAGGACTCATTTTGTTCTGATATCAAGACAATTATACAAAAGCAGCAAGGCCAAAATCACCATTTTGATTCAGTGTTCTTCCCATGTCTATATATAAATTTCAGAGATTACATAAAGAAAATATGAGCATGGACTTACCCTGCAATCAGTAGAACTGCTGAAACAATCCACAGAAGATATTGGTAAGTGTTGTATTTGGACCTCAGACCAACTCCACCACCGGGAAGATTCCGTTGCTCTAACCATCCATACTTGGGACGGGGAAGCAACACGAATCCAAGTAGAAATCCAGTAAAAAATCCGCCAACGTGGGCAAAGTTATTAACATGTGGCAGAATTCCAATCCCGAGATTAATGGCAATAATAACCAGAAGTGTGATCAATGCTGCAGCCTATAGAAGTAAGATGCACCAAATACATCACAGGATCAAACATAAACAACGCGAGAGAAACTATGTTGGATTTATTATGTAAAAGGTAAAGCATTTGGCTCTCTTGTCTAAAATCTACAACCTTGTTGGTATAGATAGTCCAGTTTGTGAACAGTTCTGAAAGCATTGCTCCAAGAAGACCGAAAAGAGCACCAGAAGCACCCACAGAGATGTTGTTCTGAATGAACAAAGAAGACAGTACACTCCCTCCTAATCCTGAGACCACGTAAATAACTCCAATTCGCACTGCACAAGTGATTACAGGAACAAATCAGCTTGCAGTAAAGATACTTCAGCCTCAAAAAAGTAAGCCTTAAAAGAAGTACAACAGCTATTCTCTTGGAGTGAAAAGAGAATGTACGTGTAACAGCCCAAGCCCACTAGAGTTTTCCCTTTCGGGCTTCTCCTTAAGGTTTTTAAAACGCGTCTGCTAGGAGAAGTTTCCATACCCTCATACAGAATGTTTCGTTCCCCTCTCCAACCGATGTGGGATCTCACAATACGCTATGGGCTTGATTCTCCAAGAACAGCCTCTCAATAAATTATTATATGGGTAATATGTTATATGTTAATGCATCTGGCAAGGATCTCCATATTATTTTAACCATCTGAAGAAGAATCTAAATTGCATTTGAATAGAAGACTAGAGACTTTTAATAGCAGAAATTCCTTTACGTTAGCGATTTAAAAGCAACGATTGCCTTATTGAGAAGATTAAGTTCATAAAGGAAAGAACAGCACATACCAAACCCGAATTGCTGCTCAAGGCGAATGCCAATAAAGACCAGACATAGCATGTTAGCAATGAGATGAAAGACACCGGCATGTAACCAGATACAGGTAATCAACCTCCATGCTTGATGTTTATTCACAACTTTAGTTGACTCTAGAGCTCCCATCTTCTCCAATCTGCAATAAAAGAAAGAACTCCTTATTTGTTGGTTCTTTTCAAGTTTGAAAGACATTCCAATCGTCCATCTTAAGACCAAGAAAGTTCACCACTTAGCTCAAGTTTAGAAAAAAGTGTATCCAAAAGCCTTCTTCAATGCTAACTAATATGCATTGTTCTCCCTAGGGCTCATCTATAAAGTTACTTGGACGAGTCATTCATCATTCAGAAGGCATTGTGAAGAAGTACAAAAGAAATCAAAACCCCACAAATCTATCAGAAATTCAATAAACAGAAGCAATTAATGAGATTCTGATTAAGACCCAACCGTGCCCCAAGCAATAATTCAGCAAAAGTCCTCTGAAACTATTGATCGCAGGGGTTTTAATTATAAGTAAACCAAGCAAATTAGACAAAACCACATAATAACAATGGTTAAGCAAGAAACAACTTCAGAATAAACATCAAAACTTAATTACATAACTACAACTAATCAAACCCCATATTCAAAATAACATTCCATTTCTCAAACAAGCAACGCGATGATAACAAATTCCAACACAAGTGGAATATAAAAAGGGAAGTAAAAGAAGTCTTACGTGGCAGCAGAAGGGCCGAAGAGAGGATTTTCCCTCAAAGGCTGAAAAGAAAACCTCTCTAGAAACCTTGCCACACACTTCCCCTGGAGACCATCATTGTGCTTGGGGCAATTATTGATATACATAACCACAACGAACACAGCAATATTAGCCACAACAAACATAGGAACAAGCCATGAAGTCCATTGGGTTTCGGTATCTTCAATCACATAAGAGGAAGAGGAAAAGCTAGTACTTCCTCTGTTCTTCGCTACTCCCCCAGCCACTTCCCTGCTCTCAATATCCTGCCTCGCCATACTTTTTTTCTCTCTGAAACTCCGTCGCCCCCTGAATCGGAAACTGGATGCGTGTGAGTTAGGATGGTGAGGTTTGGTGAAGGGTCTTTATGAAGTGAAAAGGAAGAGAGATCAACTGCCATAGTGATCAGGGATCCTCTGCATTTCGATCTTATACGCCCTCGCAAGATCGATCAGTTAAAAAATAGAATTCGAGTGGGGGAATTGAGATCTTCGTTGAATCTACAAGTGGAGGGTTGAGGTTGTGGGTTGCATTTTGATCGAATTGCGAACGAAAATGGCGTATTAGGTTTCTTGGTACGTGGGGTTTCACTTTCTGTTGATTCCCCACACTTCATCCCACTACAAGAAGTTTCCTTTCGCGGTTAATCTGAACCACTAGCGCGTTTTTTCTTCACCCCAGTTCGTGTGGGACTCGGGAGTGGGGTCGCCAACGGTTTGGCGACTGATCGTTCCATTTATTTAACTTCATTTTGCTACTTGCAAGCCAATGAGACGATATGTCGTTTACGACGTGAAATCAAACGCAACGCACCAACTCTCCACCAGCCCGCTTATGTTTTTGCTTCTTTGCTATTGGTATCATTATTGTTTACCGAAATCTTCAAAGATTGTTTTTTTACCTTCTTTCGAAATCTTTGCCCTTCATTTCGTCCTTCTGCGTAAGCTGATGCACGGAAAGTAGTTTCAGGGTTGATTAAATGGCGGGTTTTTTTCCTTCTTTTTATTTCGGCGCGGGGGTTCATGGAATTCCCCCTGATAATGGAAAGTCGATAGTAGTTTTTTGGGCTGCTTTGATATCTGGGGGTATGCTCAGAATGGGCGTGATGATGAAGCCCTTTTGAGCTTTTAATGGGAGTGAAGGCGCAATCAGTTCACTCTTTTCTCCAACCGGTGAACCCAAATATGTAAATATACCGAGAGAGTATGTTTAGTTCACCCTCCTCGAGATATCACGATTTAAGACTTTTTTTAATAGAACTATGGAAGATTCATGTCTCTTTTAAAACCTACCCTTGAACTTCAATTTTCAAGTTCTTTTTGGTACAACGTGCACCATATCTACTTAGCCTCGACACGCCATATAGTTCTAAGAGCTCAATTACATATTATTTGAGGTAGCTAAGCTACCATTTATAACTTTGGTTTGAAATTTAGCATTTATCCCGCTACATTTCCTTACCAAGCACAAATAGCAACTTTTTATCAAACAAAATTAAAAATTTCAACTTTAGACCAATACTTAATTTATATTTACCAAATTAATAAAAATAATTTAGATGGAAAAATACATCTAAAAAATTTCCCCAAATAACCTTTTAAAAAAAATAGAAAAAAAATGTAAAATTGAATGATATTTAATTTTTGAGAAAATAACTTCGGGGCAACACCAGCTTAACGTAGTTCTGCACACACCTGATCCCCCAGTCCGTAACACGACAGAGGACAACCAATCAGACGTTTGTGGGTTCCACAACCGTCTGTGTGTTAAAAGGTATATTCCATTTTCTCAAAAACAGAGATTTGGGTATCAAATATATATTTTTTTTTTTAAATTAATATATTGTATTATATTATATAATTTATACACATCGAAGGAAAAACTTGTAGTCACTTGGGCATTGTAAAGTAAACGTAATTATGATTCAAAGAAGATTATAAATAATAGTATGAAGGACACCCATTTGAGTGTTCTTTTAAGATTTTGATTTTCTGTAAGTCGGCCACAGAACTTAATAAAGTTACTGTCTTTGAATTTTTAATTTGTGGGTCTTAATCTCATGATCTTCAGTGACAATCAAGCTCAGCTCACGACCAGAGAAGGATTTTATGAATATTTTATACGTCTTTGTCTCCTCCACCGATCCCATCGCGACAATCTGAAACTTCCATTCCGTTAATTTGTTGGCGGAACTCTGTTGTTCTTCCCTTTTTCTCTGCCTTTCACAGTCTCACGTTTAAGCAATCTAAAAGGTCTCACTTTTTGCATGCACTTCCTACTTTTTTCTTCCATTTCCGCTTCTCTGATACAGGAAGAACAATGGGTTGTTTCTCTTTTCTACGTCTTTGATCTTTAGTAAGGTAAATTTCATGGCGTACAGTGTGAATATGGAAACAGAGACGAAAACAAAAGCTTGCAACCTCTTTGTTTGGCGTTTTTGTCTTCCTTTGGCTTCTTGTTGGGTTGTTTCTTGTTTTCTCAATCTGGGTCTGACAAATATGGGGTCAAGAATGTTGAATGTTAGGGTATTGTTTCATACTGTATCGGCCTTCTTTGGTAGAGAGATATGAACTGGATGGAAACGAGGAAAAAGAGGACTTTTTTTGTCCTGTTCCTCTTGGGTTTTGTACTGTTGTGCAACTGATTTTCTGGACGGAGAAAGTGTTCAAAAGATAAGAGACAGAGAGGTGAAAAAAGTCGCTATTCATGCATGGGCGTTGACGCGGAAAAAGCTTTAACTTTCTGTTTTCTATTGAGAAATGTAGACTTTGGTGTCTGTTTGTGCTCAATATCTCATTACTTTGCTTTAGTCAAACCCAGAAATCAACTAGACGGTTACTTCTATCTCTTAGAACTCCCATTTTTTAAGCCTTTAAGCAAACCTGGAATCCCTAAACAAAAAAGGAAATAATTGTGTAAATCTGTTGAATTTTGGAGGGTTTGATCTGAAATCTAGAGCCGTGGCTAATACAACCTCATCATCATGCCTATTCCCAGTTCAATTCCCAGCTCCTCTGAATTCTCCACTTCCACAGTATGAACCATTTTGTTCCACTTCCATGTGTGTCGCTTCATTGTTTTCATCAACCATTTTGTTCTAATTTCATGTGTATCATTGCTTTCTAGTATCTTTGTGTTATGCATTAGTTTTAGGATCCTTTCTTGTCCGCGAATGAATTGTTTGATTGGTTTATGTTGCAGAGGAAAATGGATGGTTATGGTGAAGTGTGTCTGCTTGGAGATGGCTTTGATCCGAGTGGAGCTGTGAGGATGAGGGAAGATGAATATGATAGCAGATCAGGCAGCGACAACATAGATGGTGCTTTATCTGGGGACGATCGAGACGCTAACGACGAACAACAACCGAAAGGGAAAAAGTACCATAGGCATACTCCCCATCAGATCCAAGAGCTTGAGATGTACATCTTTTAATCTTCTCTTTTGATCGTTTTGGCTTTCGGTAGCACATGCATAGTAATTTGATTTCTTTTTCTTTCTTTTTGTTGTTTGGTTTAGTTTCTTCAAGGAATGCCCTCATCCTGATGATAAACAAAGAAGTGAACTTAGTAGGAGGCTGTGTTTGGAGACAAAGCAAGTGAAGTTCTGGTTTCAAAATCGTCGAACACAGATGAAGGTAAACAGCTAACCATTATTCGTGTGCATTTGCATATCCTGTTGTTCGTAAAATTTTGTGGCGAAGAAGGTAATATAACGTACGATGTTTAAAAATGTATCAGACACAAATAGAACGCCATGAGAATGCAATTCTTAAGCAAGAAAATGATAAGCTCCGAGCCGAGAATAGTGTGATGAAGGATGCTATTGCTAATCCAACATGTAATACTTGTGGTGGCCCTTCAATTCCTGGTCATCTATCATTTGAAGAACACCATCTTAGAATTGAGAATGCCAGATTAAGAGAGGAACTGCACCGGTTATATACTGTCACCAACAAGTTCCTGGGCTGGCCAGTTTCTTCACCCTTTGGCAATCAGGGCTCTTCACCAAGTTCTGACTCTTGCTTGGAACTGTCTGTTGGAAGAAGTGGAATCGGAAGGTCGAGTACCGTTTCTGATTCTATGGGGCTGGGAAACGGACATTTCGGTGCTGGCCCTGTGATGCCTATTAGTAAGCCCGAAATGGGCGTCTCAGGCAATGATATACCACTTGACAGAACAATATATGTGGATTTTGCTTTGGCAGCTATGAATGAATTAGTTGAGATGGCTCAAACGGATGCCCCCCTTTGGATCAGAAGTCGGGATGGTGGTAGCAGAGAGACATTGAACCTCGATGAATATTCAAGGACTTTTCCTTCTTCAGCTGGCATGAAGCACATTAATTGGACAACAGAGGCCACCAGAGATTCTACCATGGTCATCATCAACAGCTTGGCACTTGTCGAGACGTTGATGGATGCAGTATGTATTTTCGCCTTTTTATAATAGATTAATGCTAAAACATACTGATTGTTAAAATGCTTTGATGAGAGACTAACAGATTGTTCGTTTGGCTTTAAAATAGAACCGGTGGGCAGAAATGTTTCCTTGCTTGATAGCTAGAGCTACGACAATCGACGTGATAACTAGTGGCATGTGTGGAACCAGAAACGGTGCATTACAATTGGTATCTCTCTATGCACCCCTCCCTCCCCTTTTCTCACGACATTAATGTGCGGATAATACGTATATAAACTAACAAACATTCATTTATTCAGATGCATGCTGAACTCCGAGTACTTTCCCCGCTGGTTCCTGTGCGTACGCTTAAGTTCCTTCGCTTCTGCAGGCAGCATGCTGATGGTTTATGGGCTGTAGTTGATGTTTCCATTGGAGAAGGTTCGGATTCGAACACGTTTCTCGGTTGCAGGAGGCTCCCTTCAGGCTGTGTTGTGGAAGATATGCCTAATGGTTTCTCCAAGGTAATTTCGAGCTTCAAATTTCTTTCCTTTCAAGTCTGTTAGAGATTAAAATATTATGCAGTTGGGAACATGGATTTCCTCCAGCAGCCACACCCAAACATGACTTATTTATCAATATTATCCACCATAATGGGCTGCTTTTTGAGATATAGTATAGTATTTAACTTAGGAATCTGCACCCTTTTATGAATATGTTAATCTAGTTTTTGTTTGATGCCTTGCTTCTGTGCCCGTTATCGATGCTGTTTTGTTTTCGGTCCACGGGGGTGTATGACCTAGATCTGGTCTACTGACATCTAACATAGAACCTCAGGAGACACGCTGACGTTTTGTCTTCATTTTAAAAATACGAGACAGCCGTTTTATGCATTAAATTACTACGTGAAATCTGCTGGTCAAGATTTCGGAATACATTGGTTTCTTAACTTATTCTATAAAGATTTAAAAGTCAATTTAAGCATAACTCAACTAGTTCAAGTTGCATGTAATCTCGACCAAGATGTCAGAGGTTTTTCATCCTCTCAATCTCACGTGTTCCTTTTCTTTGGTGTCACCATATTCATGGATGGTTTGTTAGTTGTAGGTAACATGGGTGGAACATACAGAATATGATGAGACTGTTATACACCAGCTTTACCGCCAGTTAATTAGTTCAGGCATCGGTTTCGGTTCACAACGGTGGCTTGCTAACC